AATGGCCTAGAATGACAAAGGATGAAGAGAGGAGGCAGCAAAACAAAATTCCTCAAGATCATTGTCCGCAAATTTGCTGTTTACATTTGAACTAAAGCTGGTTTTCGTTCTCTACATACAACCCAGCTGTAACCATGCACTCCAAAAACAGGCTAGAAAACAAAGGAAAATAGCTACAAATAAGTTCTGTCGGGTTATGAACAATGGTACGTTCATCTCATGTATTGCACATGGACGACCATTGTACATAATCTGGTATACATCAACGATTTAGAGCATGATAATGTACAAACGGCGGGGACTGCCATGGTCTATTTTTCCTGGAAGCTCCTGAAGAGAAGCAGTGAAGTATTCACAGGATGACTGTCGGGAAGAAGCTGCTCTGTTTTTGAAACAGGCTTCACAGTCTGCTCCCCATCTGGGAATGGAAATGAAAGGGATAGAGAGAGTGAAGCAGAGACATCATCCTCCTCTGGTTTATCTGTAACCTTATCCTGGGGTTTGTCATGGTTATTATTTTTGTCTACCATTCCAACAAAGAAAGGCAAGCTTCCTTTATTTGGCGGCCTCACGTCAGCCCCCAAAGCAAGCTCAAGATTTGGTACCCCATTGCGAACACGGTCCACATCCTCTGATGATTTCCCAGGCATGTGATTCCTCCACGACCCAAAGTCTTCTTCATGATGTGAAAAGCTAGGAAAGAAGAACCTTTCACTGGTTCCTAGATCCTCAGTGATAACTTTCTCTTCACAAGCATTGTTGTCACATCTCTTGTCCTCAATAGAGGAACAGGAACCTAGATCATTTACCTGTGATGCAAAACCGCCACTGGAAGAATTCTGATCCCTAGAACTGCTACAATCATATATTCCACCTAAACCCCTGTTAGGCTTCCTACTATCACCTTCTACAAAAACGTTCTTCACCTCAGTCCGTGCAATTTTTCGACTAGTATCATTAGAACTTTCTGTGGCTACTTCTGAAAGATCCAAGTATGGGCGTTTCCGATGATTCGATTGCAGAAGGTTGAGATTTCTATCTGAGACAGTAGTTCTATTGGTGCAACCATAATCTTCAATTGAATTCTGACCTTTAACTTGATCTCCATTTATTCCCTTGATGACACTACCCAAAACACCAACCTCAGGAGTGTTCTCAGAAGTTGAAGCATCTTCTCTAACATGCATTTGCACTTTCTCACCTTTAATAGAACCACTACTGGTTTCAGTAGCTTGAGACGAGAGCCTGACCTCTGTTTCCAATCCATGTCCACGAAGACTATGTTCTTCCTGCAGAATAGCAGGGGAATGTCAATATTCATGATTAGGTCTGTGTATCAAGAATCAATACCACCATAAATTCATAGACAAGATGAGAGGAAGAGGATGCTGATGCCAGATAGTTACTTTCAGGTTGCTACCACAGCAAGGAACACTACAACAGAAAAGCTACAAAGTTTTCAAGGTTTTCTTTCAGCAGAGAACTTTTCAAACACAGAAGATATCAATCCAAAATTTTTTTCTTTCTTTTCATTTTTTTCTCCTTCTATAGCTAGTAACTTAAAAAACCCGATGCTATAAACCTTTATCCTATATTTTCCAAAATCTAGTTCATTACTGCAAATCTAGTCTAATTACATATTTTAATTAGGTCAAAGATATGACTTGACAACAGTACTACATTTCTTGATCTACCCCTAACTGCTAATATTGGAAGGAAAGGATCCAATTCATCCAGCCAAAGTCACCATCGATCTCAACAACAGTACTACTTAGTAGTCTGACTTCCACTCAGAGAGTAGGTTATATGTGTTCGTTATGGCATAGTTTTTGCACATTTAGTCTGGATATTTTGAAATTTTCCCAAAACCATAAATATGAAACAACAGTAAGGAGTCTTAACTCCTAAGCCAACAAGAAAAACACTATAATAAATAATATAACTAATTCCTAAACTTCCTTTTAACTGTGCCTAATTTCATTTACACAGAGCAAATATGATCCTAAGAAAACACTTGATACTTAAGACAAAAACAGTTAGGAGTCTAGCCAGTTCAGTAATAAGGACTACGTGATACCAATCTAACAAGGCTCAGAGAAAATCTTCTAAAAAACTTAACCTAAAGCCACAAGAAAACAATATTCCACTTTTTCTCCTTTTATTATTATTATTATTTTTGGAGGAGGGGGGGGGGGTTGTTTCTAAGTGTGGGGATGGGAGGAACTGATAAAACATTCATTCATTAATTAAAGCACACGGCACCATTCTGATGAATAATATAGTACAGCAATCACCATGTTAAGTCAACCAGAAAAACCATTCAAACTAGGCTCATCCTATCAACCAAGCCATCTATTGCACAAAAATGTATTAAAGCCTTAATCCAAAGTAGTTGAGTCACCCATCTTACAATTATGGCATAGAATCTACCCTGAAAAAATAAACATCAAGAATAGAAAGACAAAAATAGAAGTCAGGACTTCTAAAGGTTTAAGTTCATCATAACTTAAGACCTTGCGAGATTACAAAGTTATAAGAAGCACAAGGTTCATCAATTAGTACTGAAGACAGACTATGCCAGTGTATCTGGAGTGTATCTCTAGTTTGGCCAGTGTTAAGCCTTCCTCTTCTCTCCCTGGTGTGGATGCAGATTATGCACTCTTCACATCTTATATTCTGTTTCTCTGCTTGTTGGTTTAGGGAGCGTTTTTATTTAATTGTTCTGTGTTTCTTTTTCAGTTCTTGTAAGTGACATTTTAGTTATCAATGAAGTTTTATTATAGTGGCCAAGAAAATAGTAATAATAATTAACAAGAAACTCCCTGAAGATTTATCAAGAGAGAATAATTAACGTGTAACATGTGAATTTCGCCGGTTTAATATAACTCTAGTCTGGCCATATCTAGTGTAGTAAGGTCCTGAATAAAAGAATGAAAACACAAATATAAAGCAAGAAATCACAATTGCAACAGCAAGGATGAAATTAATAAATTGTCATCATGCAACACATGATATGATTAAGTATAAAATACCTGGATGCCACTTCCTTCAATTCTTGTCAGAGGTTTGGAATCAAAAACAATATCTTGCTTCACTGAGTTTCCTTTTGTTCCCAAGGAGTTCTGCTCTACTTGGTTATCATAAATCCCATCTGCTATAACAAACATCTTTTCTGAAGTATTAGTTGAACGGACAGCCAGGCAAGCACTGCCCTTTGTAGCTGATCCATTGTCTAGAGGCTTGAGTGAATGCATATTCTGAGGCAGATCACTAGTTATGTCTTTGTCCAGCAGGGCAATACTTGAACTAGGTGTGCTGGAACAGTCTACTCTCCTCCCCTTAAATACACCCCACAGGAAAAGTAAAGAATTCCAACCTGTCAAAAGCAAATCACAAATTTTAGTATTTTCCTCTCTATCTTCTTGATAAGAAAATGATGGTAATAGAGAAACACCAACCAGAGGGAAATAAACACAAGTAAGAAAACAGAAATTAGAAATATAAAATCAAAAAAATAGGATACAAAAGAAAAGAAAACAATAAGAATAGAGTTAGATCCACTTACACACATGTAAGTTTTACCTAAATTATCGGTCACTAGTAATATTATCTCAACCATTGGACTGTAAACAATGTAGTCAGTAGCATTTAGCAGCCACCAGCGGAAAGGCAAAAATCCACTATGATAGTGTAGTGAATAGTCTTTGGAAATTATAAAAAAAAAAAAAACTAGAATTGATATCTTCCCTAGTAAAAGTAGAAGTTGAAATTTTAATTGTTTAGGCATCTGCAAAACTGGTTCGGAGATGCTAAAATTAAAATAAGAAGAGAGGCAGACATCTAAGCCTAACATGATAAAAAACAATTGAAAAGAACTAGATATATAACCATCCCCCTGATAAAGACACTGAAATGAGTGAATCCAGCCCCAATTAGATCTGAATTAAAGCTTATGTCCGGCAGCCATGCAGAAAAAGAAATTCAAGAACACGATAGGAAAATCCTCAAGAAACAGTTGACATTCTGAATTAAAATCCCCACACACACCCCCTCCCCCTATCCCCCAAGGATCACTTATAATCCTTTATTTTCCCTCATAGCCATATAGTCAACAGAACAAAATGGATTCACTCTAAAATTTCTTCACTGCATTCTGTACAACATACAAGTTATTTTGGCAGAACCAAAAGTACCCCATACATCACAACAAAAAAGCATGCCAACACAATGGAAATAAACCACTTTGCTACCATCTGCATGACTTGCAGCAGCTGCAAATAAATTTCCTCCCCTGCTAGTTTTCAGCAATATAAACATGGCCTAAGTACAATTACAGCTTAAAGGGTCAAAAAATTAATAAAGAGCCTCATATGAAAGAAATATTTTCTCTTAACCCTACAAGGAAGACCGGCTACAAGGACCCTCTGAACCACAGGGTTATGATATAAGCATGCATCAAATTCTGTCTAGGATTCAGTCCTATGAACATCTCATTGCCTCCATAGCAAGAGGTGTCTGCATAGGAGGCTCAATTTCATCCTATTTGTCAGATCCATTGAAAAAGTTCTAAAATCAGATTTGCATAAGCAATCAAGCTTTCTTGCTTAACAAGAATAGAAAAGCAAACCAAATGAATGTATATGAAATGTTTCTTGCGGTGACAAAGAAAAAAAGATTGAAAGGACATG